CCTATACCCTATTCCTTTCAAACTTTCCAACATTTAAACTCGGAATGATTAAATTTGATTCAAGAAAAAAATTTTACGTGGCAAGATTTTTTGTTGTATATTTGATGGCAGTTCCTGGGTAAAATGAACACCAGGGGGCAGTGTGATATGAATACTTTTGTTCCTTTTCACACTAATGATATTTACTTGCACATATTATAGACAAATAAAGATTATTTAATGCTTTTTTGTACAATAGTTACAGCAGCTGATCAGGAGTGTCTTTCCGATAACATCGTTAGCTTACTAAGGGTGCAAGTTCCGCCATTACAAACATAATTTGTTGATTTGGTTTCCCAAATTCGTCATTCCAACGAACATTCGCAAACTGCGGCGCAAACTTATACACTTTGAACTACACCTCTAGAGCTGTAGTTAGAAACATAGTTCCTGGTTGTGTTCTATTCCCAGTTATCCCCCCTATACCCTATTCCTTTCAAACTTTCCGACATGTAAACTCGAAAATATTAAATTTTATTCAACTAAAAAAATGAAGGCGGCAAGATTTATTTGTTGTACGTTTGACGGCAGTTCCTGAGTAAAATAAACACTAGGGGGCAGTGTAATGACAACAACTTTAGTTCCTTTTCAAACTAATGATATTTACTTGCACATATTATAGACAAATAAAGATTATTTCATGCTTTTTTGTACAATAGTTACAGCAGCTGTTCAGGGGTGCCTTTCCGATAACATCGTTAGCTTACAAAGGGTGCAAGTTCCGTCATTACAAACATAATTTGTTGATTTGGTTTCCCAAATCCGTCATTCTAATGACTATTCACAAACTGTGTCGCAAACTTGTACACTTTGAACTACACCTCTAGAGCTGAAGTTAGAAACATAGTTCCTGGTTGTGTTCTATTCCCAGTTATCCCCCCTATACCCTATTCCTTTCAAACTTTCCAACATGTAAACTCGAAAATATTAAATTTTATTCAACTAAAAAAATGAAGGCGGCAAGATTTATTTGTTGTACGTTTGACGGCAGTTCCTGAGTAAAATAAACACTAGGGGGCAGTGTAATGACAACAACTTTAGTTCCTTTTCACACTAATGATATTTGCTTGCACATATTATAGACAAATAAAGATTATTTCATGCTTTTTTGTGCAATAGTTACAGCAGCTGTTCAGGGGTGCCTTTCCGATAACATCGTTAGCTTACTAAGGGTGCAAGTTCCGTCATTATAAACATAATTTGTTGATTTGGTTTCCCAAATCTGTCATTCTAATGACTATTCACAAACTGCGTTATAAGCATAGTTCCTGGTTGTGTTCTATTCCCAGTTATCCCCCCTATACCCTATTCCTTTCAAACTTTCCAACATTTAATCTCGGAATGATCAAATTTGATTCAACTAAGTAGAAGCATGAATTCTTGCCAGAAGACTGAATTCTCTCATGGACATGCATGAGAAGGACGCTAATGTGTGCAGAAATGTACACAACGCCCTCTGGTGGATTCACAAGAAATGGCACGTATGAGAAAAAGGTGCCTCAGTAACTTATTTGAGATTGTCAGAAATGCACACAGCGCCCTCTAGTGGATTTGTGAAAACAAAAGCTGCAACACAATGTAGTTCAGGGTACATTATTGTCGGTTCTTAAAAATGTTGCCCTGGGCACATATCTCCAATGAGCCTGGGTTGTTATTTCCAATGTGATTGTGTAAATTCCTTAAAATTATTTGATTCAGTTGATGTAAAATTAACATTAAGTTTGTTTTATTCAGATTTTGATCCAGAAAATATTGTTGCAGATGACATGGATTAACTCAAATCACCTAAATATTATTTATTTTTTCTCTCAAAGTGCTTGAATTGGTGCACCTAATCAAAATAGTGGAGCAGAAGATGATTTTTGTCAGCGTCCTCAGGTTTTGTGGCATTTCAAGTCTTATTTTCCTCTTTATTTTGCACATGAAAATCCTCTTTTATGTCCTTGTTGCTTCATTGAAGTCAGATCCTGCAAGATAGCCTCTTTAGGTATTTTAAAAGCACATTATACGGTGAAGTTGTGAGATGAGGCATAACGGCAAAATCCTGGCTTGAAGATGTTTGGAGGGCTGTAACCAGATGTCAGGCCATTTCAGGGCATTTTTCAAATAACAGAGTTTTGGTCAAGAGAACGTGCCAACATTTCTTGTGCAGCAGTGTCCAAACTACACACATTGTCTTCTTCTTATCAAAACACTGGCGCTGTAGGGAAAGATGAGCATGCTTTGACTTTGGATTGTATTTTTTTTTAAATGCAAAAAAAAAAAAAAAAAAAAAGTAAAATCTTGTTTATCAGTGCAAATAATTTGATGAATTTATAGATTTTTAAAAGTAAAAAATATACTAAAATTCTCTGTTAAATTTATTAACAGAGAATAAATTTAATTTAATTTAATTTTAGTTTGTTTTGTTTTAATTTAATTATTTTATAATATTTTAAATGCAAATCCTGTTTGTAAATGCATTGCAAAGAAAATGGATGAATTTATAGATTTTTGTCTACATTTTATTACATTCTTTTTTCTTTTCTTTTCTTTTCTTCATTTTAAAAGCTTGTTTATCAATGGAATTTATTTACTAATTTATTAATAATTTTTGTTAATGCAAAAACATCTTGTTTATCAATGCAAATAAATAAGAGGATTTAATAGATTTCTTACCATGAGAAATACACTTTATTTATTTATTTATTTATTTATTTATTTATTTATTTATTTATTTATTATTTTGTTAATGCCAGAAAAATACAATTAAATTCTTTTTATTTTATTGTATTTCTTTTTCATTTTATTTATTTATTTTATAATATTGTTAATGTTTATCAATGCAAATAAACTATTGCATTTAATAGATTGTTTAATGTGAAAAATACACAAATTCTCATTATTTAATTTAATTTATTTATCTATTTTATATAATTGCTTTAAATGCAAAAATAAACTATGTAAATAACTTAGAGGATTTTTTCTCTTTAATTAAATTTTATATAATAATTTATTTATTTAATATTATTCCTAATTGCAAAAAATCATAATTATCAATGCATAGATGAATTTATAGATTTTTGTAAAGTGAAAATACAATTAAATTCACACAAAAATTTTATTTTATTTTATTTTTTCATTTATATGAACATCACATTTCATTTTATTGGTATTTATTTATTTTTAATTCATTTAAAATAAATTAAAGAATTTAATCGATGTTTATTTATTTACTTATTTATTTATTTTATATTATTTTTTAATGAAAAAAAAAACAAATAAATAAATTAGATGATTTTGTACATTGTTTACCTTGAAAAATGCACAAGATATATATTTATTTTATTTTATTTTATTTTATGTTATTTTTTATTTGTTTATTTAATATTATTTTGTTAATGCAATAAAACTATGAATATAAATAAATTAGATGATTTAATACATTGTTTAATTAAAAAAACACAAACTTTTTATTTTTATTTGATTTGATTTTTATTAATATTTTTATTAATTTTTTATTTATTTTATTTTTTTGGGGGGGGGGGGGCATGACTTAATGTCTTATGTAATATAAATGTATCTTAAAATGTTTGCAACAAAAATCAGTTTAAAAATACAGGATAAGAAATAAAACATAACTTTTTGGACTGACAAATACACTCTACTAATAAACAAAAACATTGTTTGTACAAACTTTCTGATTCATACCAAAACTGGATTTATATCTAAAATAAAATCAATCATTTATTCAATTATTATTATTATTTTTAATTTATTTAATAGAGTTTTAAAGGTAATTTGTTCTAGTCTTCAATGTAACGTGATCTTTCAGTCTGTTTACTTATTTGGTGTTCAAGAAACTTGCCATAGATTTATCAATGTTAAAAGCAGTTCATTTAAATCATCCTTTAGTTTTGATCAAGAGTACGTGCAAACATTTCTTGCACAGCGGTGTCCAAGTTACACACATTGTCTTCTTACCACAACACTGGCGCTGTAGGGAAAGATGAGTATGTTTTGACTTTGGATTGTAGCTCTGCTCGCTGGATTTCAAACGAGTGAGTTGTCTTACTTTCTGCTATCTATCTAGGCAGCGTCTTTTGTGAAATGGGAGCTCATAAGTGACTGATTTGAAACGCTATATATGCACAGCCACACCACACACACCACTTCTTCAGGAAACTC